AATGATAACTTCTATTAGCAAGACAAGAGAGCCTAGTCATTTGATAAATACTTAGAAATAAACTGAAAGCCTAGGTATGTTCATATATTTGTGCTACAAATATTTTTGTTAACACATTACTTTTTGCCAACGAAAGACTTTAAACTTAATATCTTGTAGAAATAAATAAAAGATCTTAGAGTATTTTATTACCTTTATTATTCGACTCTCTGGCATTTAATTTTACTAAAGACTTTTTGGGTTAATTTTCCACTATACTCCAGAATACTATGCAGTGTTCTTTGAAAACAGTATAACATTCTTCCTCTTCTTTTACATAACTCTAGTTATTAGTTCAATCAGCCACTTTCATTCTAATATGCCAACTTTTACGAATGTAGTATATCTTTTAAATTTTCTTGGATATGTAAAATATTTAGCTTGCCATGCATGCATGTCCAAAATATCAAAATCATATGCTTTTGTGATGGCCCATAGTTTCTTACCGGCACTTCTCAAATTAGGGTCCAGTCCAGGCATCTCTTTGTTAGCTTCAGGGCTGACACTGTAGATTGATGCTCCCGCTTCACTGATGATACTGAGAAGAAAGAAAAGGGGAAATGTTATTTTCCAAACTTTCTGCCTGGCCAAAGAAAATAAATGAATAAAGCTAGGTATTACAAGAGAAAAACCAACAGGACAAAGTACTCTCTTCATATTTCAATAATATCTACAGTATCTAATATTTCATTAATATAAAGTGATTAAGCAATGTTTGTTTTCTTCATAGGAATTACATAGGCTTAAATCCATGATGAATTCATTCAGTTGTTTCCTCTGACACTGGTAACAAGAGATGGTTTATAGATGAACACAATGAATATTTTCCCATCATGCCAACTTCAAAATTTTCAGAATACACTTAGCTTCTCCTGTGCTTATAATCCATTACTGACTGACATTTATGGCTCCCATCTGAACTCATCATTCAAAAGCGTTCTTGGAAAGCATATGGACGTATGTGTGGATATATGCGTGTGCAGACATGTAAAAAAAATGCTGTCATAAACAGCGCTATTATTATTACCTAGTTATAATTAGCAACCGCAATGTGAAAAAGAAAGGGATCAGATAGGATGTCATCTCACTTCTTTTCAGGAGGGTCTGAAATCATCCTTTCAGTGAACCTGAAGCCTTTCACTTCAGGCAGGTGTTAAACCGTTTCACCATTTATTTAATCAAAGCATCACACAAATTATCCTCTTCTTTACTTTTTTGGCTCCAAATACTTTACAAACCACAATGGGAACACTGGCTTAAACTCACATTTATATGGCTGATGTTTGTACAGTTTATCAAACATTTTTAAATTAGACTTCTCCTTTATGACATAATATACAAAGAAGCATCATCTACCCTAAATATATACAATACTTATGGCGCTATACCATGTGACCATCTAGGTGTCAAGATTCAAAAGCAAAAACATGTTTGGGTTCAATTTTTAATCCACTCTTAGCAATCTTTCCCTTTCTTTGCTCCTCAGTATTTACTTCAGTTATATGAGACAAGTTTAGTGGATAACTTTTAACGTATTGCCCTGTTGTAAAAAGTGAACACAGAGAAGTAAAATGTGGAAAAGTTAGTTTGCCACCCCCATGTTTGGAGAATTCTTGAATGAATTTTGATGACAACTGTAAGCCACCAAACTTGAGAAGATTACTCTGGGGAACATCAAGACTTATCTTTCTGTAACCAAGATCTACTATCCTAAATTTAACAACAGGAAAAATAAATACTGTAACTGAACAGCAAGGCTGCTCATCCTGCTTCTCATCAACATTTTCATGATAACTGACTGACAACTGAGGTAACTGAATACAAATTACATACAAAGCACAAAACCAAACACTTCACAGACATTATCTCATTTAATGGGGTAGGTTCTACTTTATAGATAATAGGCCCATGGTCATATAGCTTATGAGCAACTGAGCTAGATTTGGACCCTAACCTGCTTGATTCCCAAGTCTGAGCTCTTAACCAGCACAACTAGGTAACTCCTAAATATTTTTGCAACCTCTCATTAAAATGAGAGCCCATATTTTTGTGCCAAACAACGAATGTGACATCTTCTCTAAGGAAGAACTACTTTCTTAAACAACAGATCCACAAGAACTCTTATCTCTTTTCCATTGCCTTCACCTCTGATCAAAAGGTAAAGTGAGTTTTGTTTTCTTGAATATCTAAGGTAGAACTTAAGGCATATAGAAGGTCAAATATGTTCTATAACTTCAGAGACCAACCTTAAAATTAAAAGGCAATTATGCTTTTTCTCCAAAATAAGATTTAGATTACACTTATCTTCTAATACATAATGATCAAGGAGAATATATAATGTCAAATAAAGCTCGAAGTGAAGAAAATTATTAGTATGGCATAATAATATGATGTTAAAACTATTAATAACATATGAGAAATGATTTTTCAGTTCTATTATGGCAGAACTTCCTAATCTGGGACCCTTGGAATACCAGGCAGGGAGAGGCAGGATTAATTATAACTATATGCAAAATGTTTGTGTTTATACATATATATTTTTTCCCCTAGGAAAAGAGGTTACAGTTTTCACCAATTACTTAAAGAAATCCGTGACTGCCAAAAAGGTTAATAAATACCACCACAGGATAAGAATATTTAGTAACCAACTATAGAAAATTCAGTTTCAAATACAAATCAACACTCAGTCTAACAAAGTCTTTCCTAAAAAACCAGACTATACATGAAGTACAGGCTGGACCTATTACTAAGAGAAAAAATATATTTTAAAATCTCACCACAAATTTATTTTCTATCATTTCCAGAAGTCTCCAAAGTTACAACTATCTAAGTTACCACTATTAAGGGAACTTAAATGGTAAATAAAAATTCCAATTAACTGTGGTCTTTAGTAGTTGGGTACCCAAGAATTTGCTGGGCAATTCACTGTCTCTTGGAGGTTATAATTCTCAATAGACTGAAGGAAACTATTGCAAAGAAAAACACTCAGATAATAAATATTCCTCCAAATACCATACTGCCACTTCTTTTAAACAGAGGAATATAAAACAGATGTGACACATTGCACCCAAAGATTTTAGATTAACATTAATATTAAATCAATACAAAATGTAGTAA